TTTGGCTCCAATGTGCAGCACCTTGCACTTGGCCACATTGAACCCCGTTTGCCATGTTGCCCATCCTTGACAGATCCCTTTGGAGTGCCTCACAATCCTCACTGGTTTTCTCCACCCTGAACAACTTTGTATCATCCACAAATTTAGCCACTTCACTGCTTACTCCCAACTCCAAATCATTAATGAACAAGTTAAAAAGCAGTGGACCAAGTACTGATCCCCGCGGTACCCCACTGCTTACCACCCTCCACTTAGAGAATTGCCCATTTATACTCACTGTTTCCTATTAATTATTCGGGTTTTCGATCCATAAAAGGACTTGTCCTTTTATCCCATGATTTTTGAGCTTACTTAGGAGCCTTTGATGAGGAACTTTATCAAAAGCTTTCTGGAAGTCAAGGTAAACAATATCTATTGGATCCCCCTTGTCCACATGTTTGTTCACCCCCTCAAAGAACACTAACAGGTTAGTGAGACAAGATCTTCCATTACAGAACCCATGCTGAGTCTGCCTCAATAGGTTTTGTTCATCAATGTGCCTACTAATTCTTTCCTTAATAATGGTTTCCACCAATTTACCCGGTATCGACGTCAGACTGACTGGCCTGTAATTTCCCGGATCTCCTCTGGAAACTTTTTAAAGATGGGAGTGACATTAGCTACCTTCCAGTCCTCAGGAATGGAGGCAGATTTTAAGGAAAGATTACATATTTTTGTAAGGAGATCCAGAAGTTCACATTTGAGTTCTTTCAGAACTCTCAAATGTATGCCATCTGCGCCTCCCGTTCTTAATCGTGTGTGTTTGTTTTAAAGCACTGCTAAAATACAAAGTTACTTAATTATATTCCTTTGCATCATCTTTTGTGTTTATATCAGTGTCACTCTGTGCAAAATATCTGGCAAGAACGAGTCCCAGTCATTAGCTTACGGAGATGCAAAGAGGTTGATGGATATTTCATTTCAATTTCAACAAGCTCATAAAATGTCCCTCACGCTGCTTCAGAATTACTCCTTGGACGGCATCCAGACCTAACATAGCTTGTTAATTTCGACACTCCCACAACCTTTCAGTTTCTGCCACGCCACTAAATGAGAGCAGAATGGGGCACATGCGTACCCGTTGCAATTCAATCACTGAATAACAGAGCACACTAAATGCTGGGAATGTCATTGTAATGATTTCATGTTTTGGTGAGTGTGTTTCTTTAAATGTTTAGTTTGACTGCAGTAATGTAAGAAGAGTGATAGAGGGAGACAAGTGTGATGTGATTGGCTGATGACCAAGAGTGTGGGAGGAGAGGTGTCGATGAGAGGGATTCTGTGTGTGAAATTTTAAGAGAGAGCATAGTCTGTGTGACTATGGGAGTTTTTGAGTCTATTCTGTGTGAATAAGACAAAACAGTTTAATCTGTGTGAATATGAGATTTGAGTCTATTCTGTGTGAATAAGACAGAGTTCAGCCTGTGTGGCTATATAGATGAGAGAGTGAGAGATTTGACTGAGTGTCCACCTCAGTCAGAGTGGAGTTTTGGGAGTTTGAGAGACTGTTTGTGACACCAAACTTTGCCAGTTATATTTACAAGTTCCTTTATAATCAGCAACAGCAACCCTAACCCAAAACCTATTTTGTTCTTTATTAAATAAATCATTTTTTGTTTAAACTTATCCCAGAAATCAGAATAGTCCTTCCTCAGGGCCACGTAGTCCTTTTTTTTTTTTTTTTTTAAAGTACCCGAGGGTACACTTTTTTAACGCTGCAGCCTGTACGATTTTGCCAGGTAATACTTCTCGGATGAGTCCATCCTACTGGCTTGGGGCTTTAATGTTCTCACTTCCGCAAAGTCTTGCATCAATCTCTTCTGAAGGCGATGGCTTTCCGAACCGTCCCATAACTTACAAAGCATGGTCCCGCCGGGCACCAAAACGTGCCGGGCCAGATCAGCAACAGACAAGCACAGGCCGATCAGCCGCTGGTGATCGATATCCCGAATCCCCGTGGCATTGGGCGCCATGTCATTCAGGATGACGTCCACTTTGCCCTTGGGAAGGACTTCCTGGATCTTATTTTGAGTGTCCGGGTCCGTGATGTCAGAATGAGGCAGGAAGACAGCTCCTTCCAGAGGGAAGACGTGAAGAAGGTCAACCCCAAGAACAAAGCCGACAGGGGCATCTCGATCTAGGAAACAAATGGTATTGTCAAAAAACATGGGTGGGAGGATTCATTCATACATCCCACTATTTCCTTAAAACTCAGGATGTGACTTTATTTACTTCATTTATAGCCCGCCTTTCTCCCCTTTGGGAACCCAAAGTCACTTATAACATCCTCCCCTCCCCCATTTTATCCTACACCAGTTTGATGTAGTGGTTAAGAAGTGTGGACTCTAATCTGGGAGAATCAGGTTTGAGTCCCCACTCCTCCACATGCAGCTGCGGGTGTGACCTTGGGTCAGTCACAAGTTCTCTCAGAGCTGTTCTCTCAAGGTCAGGCGAGCTCTCTCAGCCCCACCTGCCTCACAGGATGTCTGTTGTGGGGTGGGGAAGGAGAAGGAGATTGTAAGCCACTTTGAGACTTCTTCAGATAGTGACGGGCAGGGTATAAATCCAGTCTCCTCTTCTTCTTCACAACAAGCCTGTGAGGTAGTTTAGGATGAGAGGGAACCCTGCCAAGGAAGCTTGCTGGGTGACCTTGAGGCCAGTCGTGCACTCTCAGCCTAACCCCCCATAGGGATTCAAAATAAATTCAAAGACAGCCAGTGCGGTGTAGTCACTGGACTGGGATCTGGGAGACCCAGGTTTGAAACCCCAGTCTGGCATGGAAGCTCACTGGGTGAGCTTGAGCCGGTCAGCTCTCAGCCTAGCCTACCTCACAGGGCAGGCATGAGGATAAAATGGAGGGAAGGAGAGTGATGTAAGCTGCATTGGGTTCCCTTTAGGGGGAAAAACACAAGAGTATAAATGAGGTAAATATACATATGACACCATTCCTAACACCAACATGGGAGCCAAAACACAACCACGACCATGAAAGTTAACTAAGAAAAAACTCTGAAAAATAATTTTATATATTATAAAAAGTTATATTGATATGAATTGGTAAACAGAAATTACCAGATTACAAAATGCAATACAAAATACATTCAGAAAGCAAAGTGCCAAAACACCCATAGAAGGGTCAAACAGTCCTAATCAATGCTCCCTCTAAGCTGTGGAGCCTTGTGAGCAACAATTCTACCTTGTGCGCTACTGGGATTAAAGTTGTGAGCAAGCGATTTGGCTGCTGCATAGATCAGTTTGCTCTGGAGCCATCCTCCCTGAGCTAAGACAAAAATGTGTGAGCCGGATGCTAAAAAACTGTGAACTAGCTCACACTGACTCAACTTAGAGGGAACCCTGGTCCTAATACTCATAAATTGGGATGAGATTTCAAATGCAGCGTCCAGCTGCCACAAACTCATGATCCCGCAGAATAGCCGAAACGATGGCCTTACTCATAGCGTTTTCTAAGCTAAAAGCTTAATGCCAGTTTTTATTGAAAATTAATTTTAACAACTTGCACAGTTATGCTGCGTACAATTTAAGAGAAAATTATAACTAGTTTCAGATAGTACCAAGATACAGTAAATACAGTGCAGTAGCAAATTTTGCTTTTTGGATAAACTTGTATGTTAAGGTGGTGCTTTTCACCTACAGTTAGCTGAGGAGATGAGGTAGTGTGACTAAAACTTTTGTAGATAGCTTTTACCCATATAAAAGAATTTTGTATTTGGGAGTTTTGATATGCTCCCATTCTAATTCATCTATATTCATTTTCTCAATTATTGGGTACCATTTATTTAAGTAGGTGACTTTCAGCATCTATGTTGGATGACCATATTGATATTTTCTTTTGCAGCTTAATGCCAAACATGAGTTCAGAACGCACGGTCTGGCTCATGGGATTTGTAAGCTAAAAGCTCAGTGCCATAGATCAGTAGAAGACACAAGGTTAGACTAATCAGGGTAAACTTTGTATAACTTGGTATATAACATTGTATACAATACAAAAATATTTTTCAAAGTGTTTTCTTAGTTAATTTTCACGGTTGTGGTTGTGATTTGGTTGCTTTATATCTGTGATACTCCTTTGTGGTATTTTGGGTCAGCATGGGAGGCATATATGAAAGTGGAAGATCCATAGAAACACAGAAACATAGAGCAGGAAGGGACCCCCGAGCGTCATCTAGTCCAGCCTCCTGCACAACGCAGGAAATTCACAGCTGCCCCCACACACTCCCCCCAGTGATCCCTGCTCCATGCCCAGAGGAAGGGAAAAAACCTCTAGGATACTTGGGCCAACCTGGCCTGGAGGAAAAATCCTTCCCGACCCCAAAGTGGGGCCCTCACTTAATTTCCCCCACACACACACACCTTTTTATGCAAGGTCATGCCAGTTTACTGCACTTGGTTAGTTACACTAATCACCTGCCAGTGTTTTTAGAAACTGCTGCATTAGATGGCTGCCTCTGTTATCTTCCATTGTTTTTTCATGGCTTTCCTTGGCAGGGCAGAATATGTCAAACAAATAATAAACCTCAAACCGGCTGGAATGCCTTCCAAGAGGCAACGGCAACCCTCGCATTCCCAGTTCAGTGGAACAGCCACCGAGGACAGCTATGATACAGGCACGGCTTTGCTGAGAAACCTTGCATTCCTCCGTAGAACGTGGTCTTGGGAAGGTTCCTGGCGTCTACTGTGCAGCCTTCCCCCCCATCCATCTGCCCGCTGCCAAAGTCCTGCCTCGCCCAGCATATTAATCCACTCCAGCCCATTTTTAAAAAAGGTTATTTTTAGCCACCCCCTGTAACAAACTATTTTAAAAGCCAGCCTTTCTGTAACAATCAATACCTCAGAAACCTCCTTCATCTATCACTCTCGAGGAAGGCAGGCGTGCCACTCCGAAATCGGCCAATAACAACGTTTTGCACTGTCGGAGCACTTTCGCTAACGTTCACTAATTAAGAGCTAGTCCCCGAGAGACGGGCGCTTGCCAGAGGGGAAAATCCATGAAATAAAACAAAGGCTCTGGCAAGGATGAAAACGGAACCCGTCCGCCCCCGCCCGATCCCTTCCCCAAAAAACACCATGGAGTTTGGATAGAATTGAATGGTGGTTGTGAATTGACATCCGCTATCGGTCGACATCACAGCTTGACTTATAACAACGGAAGAAACATAGACCCAACTCTCAAAGAGCTTTTAACATGCAGTGCGAAATGCGCAGGGGACGACAGGAGCTAGACGGAGCAGGCACATGACTCCCCTTCTGCAGCTGCTCCGTTGGCTGCCCATCTGTTACCAGGCTCAGTTTCAGGTCTTGGCCGCCACATACAAAGGCCTACATGGCCTCGCCCCTCTCACTGGCGAGACTGGCTCTCTCCCGCTCCCCCTATGCTCCGCCATGAAAACTTCTGCAGGTGCCGACCTGCAAACGGGCAAAATCGACAACTGCTCGTGCCCAGTGCCTTCTCCGTTGTGGCTCCCGACTTGTGGGATGGCCTGCCCAAGGAAGTCGGGAAAGCTCCCGCTCCCCTGGCCTTCCGCAAATGGTGTAAAACTGAACAGACTGGTCTGACAAACTCACTTGGATAAATGAGTAAGGCCGGTGCTCTACACTGCTGCCTTGTGGGGAGGGAGGGCTATAAATTTGATTAAATAAATAAATAAATTTAGCTTTTTGTAAGTAAGATCCTATTTATGTAATTTCTGTACCGCTTCAAGTGTCACGTGAATACTTTTGCTGCGCTTCAGTTCTTTCTGGTGTTTCCAGACTTCTAAAACCCTAGTGCGTTGGTTATGGAATGTCCCATTTTTGTGTGTGATTATACTGACCCATTATGTGTAATCTGCCTTAAGTCCCTGTGAGAAAGGAAGGAAGGAAGAGAGAGAGAGAGAAAGCGAGAAAGAAACAGACAAAAGAGAGAGAGAGAGAGACAGACAGACGGAGGGAGGGAGGGAGGGAGGGAGGGAGGGAGGAGAGCAACTGGCAAATGAACATCAGGGTTTAAAGCCAAAGGATTCATGGGCAAAAAAATCAAGGAAAGCATTATTTGTAGGAACGGAACACAAAGAAGGGGAATAGAAAACAGCCAGGGAGAATCACGACAAGGGAGGGGCCATAGCCTTGTGGTACAGCCTCCCTGGATTCATCCCCAGCATCGCCACGTCTCGGCCATGGGGGCCACGAAAGGCCTGGAGAGCCACTGTCAACGGTCCAACTTGGGATAAAAGATCAGCGTGTCTCTACTAGACAGCAAGAGGCCTGAGGGAGGGAAAGCTGGAGGGGTGGAAGTCAGGAATGAGGCTATTTTATGAGACTCAAGGGCAGAAATATATGGCGGGGACGAGGAAACTGCAAGGAAAAGGCCACGTGAATTCACAAAGTTGACATGCTGAATCAGCCCACTGGTCCATCATGGTCAGCGTTGCCTACTCTGACTGGCAACAGTCAGTTTTTAAACAGGGGATGGCAGGGCTTGAACCTGGGACACAAAAGATGTTTTTTTGAATAGTGGGTAGTGAAGGGCGGGGTATAAATCCAATCTCTTCTTCTTCTTCTTCTTGTACGTTTCACAGAGAGGTGGCTAGTTATTGCCATTTATTCCGAAATGGACTCCGAAAGCCAACCCATTCCCGTAGGGTTTTCAAGGTAAGAGATGTTCAGAGGTCCTTTACCATTGCCTGCCTCTGTGTCCTGGCCCTGGTATTCCTTGGAGGTCTCCCTTCCAAGTACTTGCCAGGGTCGGCCCTGCTTAGCTTACGAGATCGGGTTTGCCCGGGCTACCCAGGCCAGGGCACTCTCTTAAGCATTTGTGATACGGCATGACAACTGCCTGTGGGGGGGGGGGACCCAGTAAAAGAATGACGGTAGGTCTTTGGATCCCTGCCACACTATAAATCACGCGCCACTTGCATCAGCTCACAATACAGATGCTACAGGTTTAGAAAGGCAGGGGAGGGAGTCTCCCTGACTCGTTTTCCCTTTGGAAAGGTGCTCACCCGATCCCGCAGCATTGACTCTCTGGACTGCCACCTGAGCCCAAGCGCCGGGGGCCGTGCCGCAATCTAACACACAAAGGCCGGGGCGAAGGATGCTGCGCTTGTCATCCATTTCCAGCAGCTTGAAGGCGCTCCGGCAGCGATAGCTCTGCTTCTTGGCTTCCTTTACGAACGGGTCCTTGAAGTGCCGCTCCAGCCAACGGTGCTCGGCCCCCGTTTTGCTTTTCAGGCATCGCGATGCAGAGTGGATTCGTGAGCACTGAAGCCAAAGGCTCGGTAGCTTGCAACACCTGTGAAAGAAAAGGCAAAATAATTGCATGGCCAAACGGACACAGGGTGTTAAGGGTCTAAGAACCAGCACCAGTCTGTTTAGACTTTTGTCACACATCTGATTCCGTTTCTCCAAGCCAGGTATCAAGTCAGAGACCAACTTACAGGAATCTTCTAGTCTGTTCGAGCTAAAACGTTACCATTCTCTGATTTACTGCCTGTGTTGGTCACTCCATTCACTAGCAGATATTCTTCAAGGTCACCCACCCAGGCCTATTAATTAGGCTCCAATAGGCTGTGGCTCAGTGGCAGAGCTCTGCTTGGCATGCAGAAGGTCCCAGGTTCAATCCCCGGCATCTCCAGTTAAAAGGATCAGGTAGGAGGAGATGTGAAAGACCTCCATCTGAGACCCTGGAGAGCCACTGGTGGTCTGAGTAGACAATACTGACTTTGACAGACACTATAAGGCAGGTTGGGGGTTCTGGGTGGGGTGGGGGGGGGGGGGGTATCCATGGATATTGCCCATGATTGTTTGAGGGGGTAAGGAGATTATGGCCTGCAGTCTTCTATAAATGTGGTTCATGGTTCGTCCTTACCTTTATCCTTTCCTTCCCATTCCTCCATGCTACGAGGAAGATATTCGGAAGGAGGAGGAGAAGGAGATTGAATTTATACCCTGCCCTTCCCTCAGAGTCTCAGAGCGGCTTACAGTCTCCTTTCCCTTCCCCTCCCCACAACAGACACCCTGTGAGGTAGGTGGGGCTCAGAGAGCTCTTTCGAGGACTGCTCTTGAGAGAACAGCTCTAAGAGGACTGTGACTGACCCAAGGTCACCCAGCTGGCTGCATGTGAAGAAGTGGGGAATCAAACCCCGTTCTTGCAGATTAGAGTCCGCCGCTCTTAACCACTACACCAAACTGGTCTAGGACTCTTTGCTTCAAGAACCAACTTTGCTATGTTAGGACTCCAGTAAACAGATAGCTAGTTCGCTTTCTTGTTTTTTTCCATGCACTTCATACTGCCTTGTTCTTAAAACCTTGTTCCTGAATTTCTTCAATAAAGCCTTATTTTTTACTCGGGGAGTTACTGAGACCAATCCCAGGTCCAGCTTGGTTACGTCACTGCACCAAGGCGGAGTCAGCCTTGACACCAGGGGTCCCCAAACTTTTTTTAGCCTGTGGTCACCACTGGAGTTCTGACACACAGTGGTGGGTGCAACCACAAAAGGGGCCACGATGACAGGTGGAACCACACACAAAGGAAGCCCAAGTACAGGAGACAAGAGGAGCAATTTTAAATTGGGAAAGAGGACTGAGTAAAGAGAATAAAGCCAACACTGACGGTAGCTGCTACTGAAATACCATTATTTTAATCTACACAGCTATTCAGGTCTCTGGGGGACAATCAGGAGACTTGATGGACAGCAGCCACCTGGCCACACCCACTTTCTAAAAATACTTGACAGACGCATGGAAAAGTGTCAGCAAGGGCACAGTGTTGGAGACCCCCTGTTCTCGGCAATCTTCAAACTGATGTTTTAGGGAGCGCAGAGGCACATCAGAAGCTTATAAGAGGTTCCTCAGTGGAAAAAAAATGCTGATTTTTTAATTTATTTGGTTTATTCAATTTATACCCGGCCCTCCCTGCCAAGGCATTTTCCCCTGCTATGCACATTGCAAGAATCTAGAGAACATTACCAATTCATGTAGGATAATATGGCTTAAAAGGCCCGGGCAGTGTCCTACAAGGAACCTAAAATTCTTCCCAAGATTCCCTGCATTGTGTAAGGGCCCCATGACAGCAAAAGATGAATTATGGGCCGTTTTCTCAGTTTCCATCTGCCACTGTTGGGTACTTAGGAAACAGCGATGTGGACTCACAGGGACACGTGGTGTCATCAGATTCGGGTGAGTCACCATCTTGGGCTGAAGCAACAGAACAAAGTTTAAGTCCAGTGGCACCCTGAAGACCAACAAAATTTAATTCTGGGTATAAGATTTTGTGTGCCACCTTTGCTCTATTGGGTGTAGCTGTTAGAGCGTATCGTTGAGCACCACACCAGATAAGCAATTGGGAAACAAAAGAAACTGGGAATAAGCGCAATCCTTCTGTCTCTCTCTCTCTAAAACATACTCTAACTTAGGGGTGTCGAACTCTTTTGTTATGAGGGCTGGATCTGACATAAATGAGACCTTATCGGGCCAGGCCACGTGTGTGTCATAAAATGTAGAAGAAGAAGAAGAGATTGGATTTATACCCCCCCGCCCTTCACTCAGAGTTTCAGAGCAGCTTACAAACTCTTCCCTTCCCCCTCCCCACAACAGACACTCTGAGAGGTAGGTGGGGCTGAGAGAGCTCTGAGAAAACTGCTCATGAGAGAACAGTTCTTGACAGAACTATGGCTTGCCCAAGGTCACACAAGCAGCTGCAAGTAGAGGAGTGTGGAACCAAACCCGGTTCTCACAGATTAGAGTCTGCACACTTAACCACGACACCAAACTGGCTCTCCTACACCAAACTGGCTCATAAGGGTTCTAGATCAGTCAAGTATGTTTTTGTCTTGTTTTTTAAAGTTTCATGGAGGTAGAAAGTTTTCAACCTGCTTTGCTAAGCAACATCTCCCTTTGGAGGCAAAGATACAGTGTTTCCCACCCACTGCAAAAAGCATACAGGCCAGAGGACATGGCATCAGTGAAATGTCAAGGGGTACTTGCCTGACTGTCAGGTAAATGTGAAACCTGAAGGGGGGGGGGAGCATTTGAGAGAAGACTTCCTTAGCTATCAGGCAAGGCAGCAGTACCCATGGAGAATTTTCCAAGATTTCACTTTCAAGTATGGAAAGGATGTGAGAGTGTGTGACTGGGCCATGCTCACCTGGTACAGCTCATGGTTCACTCCTCCTCTGCATCTTAATAAGGTTGTTAACCTTGAGGTGCCACCTGGACTTCCCCTGGAATTACAACTGATCTGCAAATTACAGAGATCAGTTCCCCTAGAGCAAATGGCTGCTTTGGAGGGCAGACTATATAGTATCATACCCCATGGACATCCCTTCCCTAGCCAGGATCCACCCCCACATCTCTGGGGATTTCCCAGCACAGAGTTGGCAACCCTACAGTGAGACCAGTAGGGATGCTAACTTCCAGGTGGTGGCTGGAGATCTCCTGGGATTACAACTGATCTTCAGGCAATAGAGATCAGTTTATTGGGAGAAAATGGCCACTTTGGAAAATGGAATCCCTTCCCTTCTCTTCCCCTCCCCAAACCCCACCCTCCTCAGGCTCCGTCCCAAAAATATCCAGGTATTTCCCAACCTGGAGTTGGTAACCCTAGGAAGCTACACTGAGAGGAAAGAAACGACTGGCCCCAAACCACCTTATAAGGTTAAAAACACAAGAACCTAAGAGAAGCCATGTTGGATCAGGCCAATGGCCCATCCAGTCCGACATGCTGTGTCGCACAGTGGCCAAAACCCAGGTGCCATCAGGAGGTCCACCAGTAGGGCCAGAACTCCAGAAGGTTCACTGTTCTCTTCTCCTGCGCTTATCCTCACAACAACCCTGTAAGGCAGTACAGGCAGAGGGAGAATAATTGGCCCAAGACGTACCAATAAGGGTACTGGGATGATGATGATAGGACTGCAACTCCACACTGGGAAATTCCTGGCAGTTTTGGGGGTGGAGCCTGGGAAAGGCAGAGCTTGGGGAGCGAATCCTGATTCTACAGGGTCCACCCTCCAAAGCAGCCGTTTTCTCCAGGGGGACTGTCTGATCTCTTTCGTCTTGCAGAGCAGCTGTAATTCCGGGGGATTCCACAGGCCCTCCCTGGAGATTGGCAAGGCAAACGTATTTCAACACCCACCCACCGACCCAGCCGGATACACTAACCGCTACCCCACGGCCCCATTTTTAGTCCACCCTCCTCTGTAACGAGGCAAGAGCAAAAGCGAGGGAGTCTGCAGTACTCACCGACTCATTGCCCCAAGGCCGGCCGCCACTTCCGGGAACGCGATCTGGGGGACACTTACCGAGATTGAACCGATTTGGTCCGACTTTCAAACCTGTCCATCCGGGAACAGGCAACCGCCTTTCTAGTTCCGCTGCCCAAGAACGCCAAGGCTGGGAGCGGGTCCCTCTTGCAAGCGCCGCTGCTGTTCCCTCTCGGAGCCTTCGCCAAGCACCGCCTGGAGAGGAGGTCCCGCGCCGGCCTCGGCCTCTCCTCCCCTGGCGGCCAGGGGGTTGGTTTCCCGCCTTGCTGGAGGAGCTGCCTGGACCCTGGTGCAACTCTCTTAAACGGTAGGAACAGTGGGAGGCGGTGGTGCAATCCTATGCAGCAGGGTAGGGGCGGATTAACCATTAAAGAGACTAGGGCACCAGGGCCAAAGGGGGCACCACAAAGTTGGGAAAAGGGTGAAAAGAAAAAGAAAAAAAAAAACGAATGAAGATTTATAAAAGAAAATTTTTTATATGAAACTAGAGCAAATTGATGATGGTGCACCCTAGGGTTACCATCTTCTATTTTTTGTTGCTGAGGTGCAGTGTCATAGGCTATGTTTAAAAGTAATATGATGGAGCCAAATTCAGTTGTCGTGACAGTCATTTCAATGACCCTCTCTGCCCCTTTTTAATTTTAGCCCCATGTAAACGTCAAAAATGAAGTGTGTTCAGTTGATTGGTGCACAAAAGGAGGGGGGCACCAAGACTGATCAGTGCTTAGGGCACCAGTGAGCCTTAATCCGCCCCTGCTATGCAGAGTCAAACCGGTCGGAGCCCTATTGATTTCAGCGGGTTTAGAGCGAAGGCAAGTCTGCTCGGGACTGTGTTGTCCCTGCGCGGAGTTGGTATGAGTGGGGCTGATTGCATAAGGGTGAAATGGAATTTTATTAGGGGACCGAACACTGTTGCCAACCTCCAGGCAGGGAACTACAAAGCAAATAAAATTGGACCACACTGTGGAGAGTAGTAAATTATGCGGGGAACACCATGTTAACTGGTAGAAACAAAATGACCTGTTCATATGCGTGAATCATCTGATCTCTGTGTATATGCTTGGCTCCTCGCATTAATCCCTGTGTAGGTGTTGACCCAGTTTAAATCAAAATCATAGAAAAACAGAGCTGGAAGAGGCCATACAGGCCATCTAGTCCAACTCATTGCTCAATGCAGGATCAGCCCTAGAGCACCTGACAAGTGTTTGTCCAGCCGCTGCTTAAAGACTGCCAGTGAGGGGGAGCTCACCACCTCCCGAGGCAGCGGATTCCACTGCTGAATAACTCTTACTGTAAAAAAGGTTTTCCTAATATCCAGCCGGTACCTTAACAGTGCTTCAATTTAAACCCATTATTGTGAGTCTTATCCTCTGCTGCCAACAGGAACAACTCCCTGCCCTCCTCTAAGTGACAGCCTTTCAAATATGTAAAAAGAGCAATCCTGTCCCCCCTCAGCCTCCTCCAGACTGAACATTCCCAAGTCCCTCAACCTTTCCTCGTAGGGCTTGGTCATATGCTGGTTTTGTTTCTCCTGCTGGCTCTGTCTAACTCCAACATTAACTTTGCAAACTCCTTTGAGTTTGATTTTTGTGTATTGTTGTATTAGCCCTTTTCATTTGGCTTTTTGTATGGATATTTGTTACCACTTTCATAATAATAATTTAATAAATTTTAATTGAAAGATAGTACGAGTATACAGAAGAAATAACATGCATAAACCAATAAAGCAGTGCATAACATTGCTATTACATATAATGTTGTTTATAACTTTCAGCCTGTCAATTCCATAGAGTTTCTAAGTAACCTGTGATTGATATAGAGTGTGTCAGAATACAACTGTGCTAACTTTATAAGTACAACAATAGAGCGCTCAGATCTTAAAAAGAACTAACAACTTATAAATGCATCCATTCACTATAACCGAGATGTGTTGGCAGAATGTCAGTCTCTGTAAAGTATACTATCAGAGCGTACCACTTTCTTACAAACCTAGATTGTGACCCTGCCTGCCTTTGTGTGTGTGTGGGATATATGTCTGCAATTTGCACAGTTTGGGGGTCTACATTATGATTTATTTATATACATAAACTTACATGCAATATTACTGTTATTTTAATGGTGTATGAGATTTGCATTTCAGAGGATATTTTGTTCCTATCTGTTAACAAGGTGTTTTCTCCATAATTTCCTAATCTCCAGTTGGGACCGGGAAATCTCCCGGAATTGCAATTGATCGCCAGATAACAGGCACCTGTTCTCCTGGAGAAAATGGTTGCTCTGGAGAGTAGACTGTATGGCATTATGACTTGCTGAAGTCCAACCCCGTAGCTAGGGATTTTGGGGGGAGGGGACCTTGAGGGGGCCCACCAGCTAATTAAATCAAAGGCTCCAGTGCAAGGGGGGTTATGCCCAGTGGCTGCAGCTTCCCTCCCTCCCCCGCAAAGCTTCTCTCCTTCCCTGGAGCACCCGGCTCCCTCCCTGGGAAGCTCCACTGCCCCTTCCCATGGTGCAGCGACAGGGGCAGCCTGACTTGCACCCTCGGCTCCCTCCGAGGGCTGGGAGAGGTGAGGTGTGGGGCACAGCTGGGTCAGAGGAGGTGCCTGCCTGCCTCCTTGCCTTGCCTGGGCTTTACCCTTCATGCTTGCTGCCTGGGTGGCTCTCTCAGCCTTGCCTGGCCACCACCGCTACTGTGCTGCCGCCTCTGAAATCACTGCCCTCATCCTCCCCATGGACAGGCTGACGGGCTGGGGGGGAGGGGGAGCCAAGGCTCGGGGAGCGGGGCCAATAAAAACCGCTAGGGGGCGGGCCCCATGGGCCCCATGGTAGCTACTGGCCTGCTGAAGTCTCTCCCCTCCTGTCCTAAACCCCACCCTTCTCAGGATCCACCCCCAAATCTCCAGGAATTTCCCAACACAGAGCTCGCAACCCTACCCAGGACTCTTAAGCAGGCATAAGATGTTACAAAGGCAGGCCTTGACAAATTTTCTGTGGCTCGAAAAGCCGGGCCAGAAATTCAGAGCCAGAACCCTTTTTCAGTCTTAGCATATTTTAGAGTCTCAGAGCGGCTTACAAACTCCTTTCCCTTCCCCTCCCCACAACACACACCCGGTGAGGTAGGTGGGGCTGAGAGAGCTCTTGACAGAAACTGCTCTTTTTCAAGGACAGCTCTTATCAGAACTACGGCTTGCCCAAGGTCATCCAGCCAGGTGCAAGTGGAGGAGTGGCGAATCAAACCCGGTGCTCCCAGATTAGAGTCCGCGCACTTAACCACTACGCCAAACTGCGTTTACTAATTATTTTTTGAATGTTTGTTGTAGTCATTTTTATTAGTTTGTATATTGATCACCATATTTTCTAATTATTGCTACCACAAAACCTGATCTTCACCATTCTCTTAATTTTATTAAATCTATGATAAAAAGAGTTATAGATAAATAAATAAAGGAATAGTCCTGGTTGTCATTACTGTAACAAAAATGCAGCCTAACGTCTCCCCTGTTTCTCAGAATTGAATTCAAAAGCTCCATTTAACTGAGTGTTGGAGCCAGTGTAGAAAGCAGCCAGTTACGAAATAAATTCATCCACCACCACTGAATGGTGTAAAGTCAATATATAAACAAGCAATGGCAAGAAATTGATGCGTGTGCATTTTTACGCCATGCAGCAAAACATATTCTGATGTGAAATTATACACGAGCTTTGTGCTTCTCATCGAGAGACGCCACAATTAAATCATTCCTAAAAATTCTAGGCTCCAGAAAGACATTTCTAGGGGCCATGGTGACCTAATCCCTGGGATTTGTCAAAGTATTAAAGGACAGAACTGTAGGAAGCAGATCTTTCACGACATCAGAGCCCTAGGCCAGGGTGTAAGGTCTGGTCAGAGTGGCTTCCATAGTGAAAGGCCAGCAGGTTGTGTACATGAGCTTAACATTTATTACTGCAGATAGATTCAGGGTGGTAGCTGTATTGGTTTGAAGCAATAGAACAAAATTTGAGTCCAGTGGCACCTTGAAGACCAACGAAGTTTAATTCTCTCAGAACTCTCTCAGCCCCACCTGCCTCACAAGGTGCCTGTTGTGAGGAGAGGAAGGGAAGGAGATTGTAAGCTGCTTTGAGACTCCTTAAGGTAGAGAAAAGCAGGGTATAAAATTTTCTTTCGTTTCTGTTTTATTTGGGGGTATAATAATTTCCATTTATTTTCCTTAGGGGCTTAGTCCAAACTGCATTCCCCCCCCCCCCCCTCCAGTCTAACTGTATGCTCTTTTGAAATCCAGCAAGGTCACGATTGCCATCAAGCCATCCCCTGCGCTTCCCAGTTGATCTAACTGCTGTGGTGTGCAGAGGGGCCTTTTATAGCAAGTACGCACCCCTGACTGTCGGCATCCTTCCCGTTGTAGAGAGCATGTTGACAAGCAAGCTCTTCACACTGGTGCTGGTGGTCCAGCCCCAACGCATCCTGCTGGGCATGAAGAAGCGCGGCTTTGGGGCCGGGCGGTGGAATGGCTTCGGAGGGAAGGTGCAGCCGGGTGAAACCATCGAGCAGGCGGCCAGAAGGTGAGCCCGGATAAGTTCCTAGGCCCTCCAGGTAATGGAAGTACAGAGTCCTCTGGTTTCGGATGGTAGCCGGGTTCGTTGGCTGTAGAATGGCTAGATTGGAGGGCAGTTGCACCCTGCAATGCCACCCTAACAACAGTTACTCCAGCCTATTTATTTATTTAGCTGTTGTAGATTTTCCGGGTTGTATGGCTGTGGTCTTGGTACAACCCAGAAAATCTACAACAGCTAGTGAACTCCGGCCATGAAAGCCTTCGACAACATAGTTATTTGTTTATTTCATTTGCTTTCTTAACTGCCCTTCCCCGCTTACGCTGGGGGCTTAGGGCGGTTTACAACAACATAAAATCGAATATAATTTTAAAGCCACTTAAACCTACAAAACTTCAATATTAAAACATTAAGCATAAATATTTAAACAGATGGCATAGCTAGCATTCAGATTTTCCGGGGGAGGGGGGGTGCCAGGCAGATGCAAAGGAACCATCGCTGGCCTCAACCGAAAATCTGGCGGAATATCTCTGCCTTGCATGCCGGGCACGGATGTCATTCGGCAGAGTTCCACCAGGCTGGGGCCAAGGCTGAGAAGGCCCTGGTCAAGGCCAGCCGGATATCTTCGGGGCTGGAAACCACCAGGAGATTCTTTTCTACCGATCTCAGTGCCCTTCAGGGGACATATCACAAAAGGCAGTCCCAAAGAGACGTAGGTCCCTGACCGTTAAGGGCTTTAAAGGTGAACACCAAAATCTTGAATCTGATCCGGTGCTCCACTGGCAACCAGTGCAGCTCACGCGGCACTGGATGGATATGTGCCCTCTGTGGAGTCCCTGTAAGGACCGATGCAGCCGCATTTTGTACCAATTGGAGCTTCTGGGTCAGTCTCAAGGGTAACCCTACACAGAGGTCATTTCGTAGAAAAAGAGGTGCCGGAGCTCATTAGCATAACTAATTACCATATGCCACACCCCCTGACATCACCAGAAGTGTGTCAGAAGGCAACACCCATCACTCAAGCTTCACTGGACTGTTTTGGATTGCTAGCTATTGTGTGTGTGTGGGGGGAGAATGCGCAGATCTGCCCTCACAGAGGAGGGAGAGCTTGGACCTGAAGGCGGGCTGGGGGGGCGGGCTCTGCAACGTACCTGGCTACTTATTGCTCCTCATGGCCTGACTGAGGGCTGTTGGGAGCAGGGGGCGGGGCTTGTTGCATGTGCCCACCCCCTGGGCTCCTTACTGCCGGAGCTCCACTCCTGTGCGCTCCCACAGGAAATTACCCCTGGAGGTGACCGTTGCATGGATTATTGTGGCTAGGTTGGAGCGAGACAGTCTAAGCCCACTGATTTCAATAGATTTAGACTGAAGTAACTCTGGTTAGGATTGCACTGTTTGAGACCAACAACATTGAGACCAAGTGCAGAAAAGGGCAACTAGAATGATAAAAGGGTTGGAACACTTTCCCTATGAAGAAAGGTTAAAGCACTTGGGGATCTTTAGCTTGGAGAAACGACGGCTGAGGGGTGACATGATCGAGG